AACATTTGCATGATCTCTGTCCTATTTTAAAGCATCTGTTTTATGTGTACAGGGATATAATATTTCATTAAAGGAATTATATCATTTACTAAATATGTATATATCATATATACAGGGCTCATCACTAGCCATTGGCAAGTGATAATTTAGCCCTGGCAAGTAGAAATTTACCCATGGTGAGTGTGAAATAGACCCTCCAGGCTTGTGGTGGTGAGTAAATTGTATCGTCCGGCTATTTATTGACTTTTGCATTTTGATCCCTGGTATAAATATATTTGATGTATTCATTAAAATCACGTTATAAAACGTACCTTTTATTCTATTGCCTAGACCAGGGGGTAGGCAACCTATTAGCAGCACTGTGCCGAAATAAGATTGTGATGTCCCGTGGCGTGCTGGTTCATTCTTTTTAAATTGAGGTGTGTATGTTGCCTTATTCTGCTTGTGTTATTTATACTGCAGTTGCTTTGTATCGTTGTATTTGTGCGTATATGAGCCATTATATTGTATATGTTCATGAGTAGTTTGTGGTATTGTGTATACCTATGAATGTGTGTTTGTGAAATTGTATGTGTGGATGGATATGTCACATTGTGTGTTTGGTAGTGTGTGTATGTGTTGGGGCTGTTTGGGGTATTGCACGTGAGAGGCTGCATGTGGGGTTGTGTGCATGTGCGTAGATCGTCAATGGTGTTGAGTTTGTGCGAATTGTGTGTTGTGTTTGTGTGAGGAATGTTCATATTATTTGTATGAGGGGATTGTTATTCTTCAGCTCTCTATATATCTAGCAGTGTGGGTGGCTTCCTTGGGGTCTAGTGGGGACCAGGCTGGCCAGGTACCGTTCAAGGACAGGAGCTGTAACAGCAGCTCTGGGCTGCTCTACTACAGTGTGGATTCCCATTCACATGTGCTGGGAGGAAGTGATCTGAGATCATTTCCTCTGCGTGCTGCAATTCATAAATTGAGGATTGTCCTTCACCACCTTTTCGTATTAGCAGTGGCGTACACATGACCGGGGCCCCGGTGCGAAAATTGATCCGTGGGCCCCGGCGCTGCGACCCCGCGACAGGCATGCACACACACTTAAAGGACCACTACAGACACCCAGATCACATCAGCTCAATGAAGTGGTCTGGGTGCCAGGTCCCTCTAGTTTTAACCCTGCAGCTGAAAACATAGCGTTTCAGAGAAACGGCTATGTTTCACTGAGGTTAATCCAGCCTCTGGTGGCTGTCTCATTGACAGCTGCTAGAGGAGCTTCCGCGATTCTCACTGTGAAAATCACAGTGAGAAGACACTGAACGTCCATAGGAAAGCATTGAGTAATGCTTTCCTATGGGCGGTTTAAATGCGCGTGCGCCTCTTGCCGCGCATGTGCATTCGGAGCTGAGTCCGACGCTGGAGAAAAGGTAAATGCTGAAGACACACACACACTCTCACGAACAGACGCATACACACTAGCTAACAGACACACATTTACTGACAGAGACACACTCAGCACAGACATACATACACACTCACTTACAAAACATACACTTTCACTGACAAACACACACTCACTAACAGACATCAAACACACTCAGTAACAGACACACACAGTAACACACTCACTAGCAGACACACACCCAATAACAGACACACTCACTGACACACACACTAACACAAACACTAACATACACACAAACACACACACACACACACACATTAACATACACACACACACACACATTAACATACACACAAACACACACACACACATTCACACACACACACACAAACACACACACACAAACACACACACACACAAACACACACACACACACACACACACTAACACACACATACACACACACATTTTTAAAAAAAATGTAATCCCCCCAGCCTCCTTACCTTTTGGAGTGCTGGGGGGATTCCCTGGGGTCCAGTGGTGCTGCTGACCCCGGCGGGCTGGCTATCTAGGTGGCCGGTGCGCTAGGGAGCACTCAGTGCTTCCTCTTCAGCTCCCTCGCGCGCCGCATGGGGATGCCGGCGCCGGAAGATGACGTAATCTTCCGGCTCCGGCATCAGTGCGGTGCGCGAGGGAGCTGAAGAGGAAGCACTGAGTGCTCCCTCGCGCACCGGCCACCTAGATAGCCAGCCCGCTGGGGTCAGCAGGGCCAGCCTCGGTGGGCCCTGGGGTGGTCGGCTCCTGGGCCCCCCAGGAGAAGAGGCTGGCCCTGTGGCTACATACCGGGTCGCAGGGGCGGCCGGGCCCCCTGGTGGGCCGGGCCCGGTCGCAGCCACGACCCCTGCGACCCTGGTATGTACGCCACTGCGTATTAGCAGATATCTGAAGTTTCACTGGGACTTCTGATAGGCCAGAGCCTGTTTGGCTCTAGCAGCTTTGAGTGCCGTGCATGACACACGTGCCATAGGTTGCCTACCCCTGGCCTAGATAGACTCCTCACGGGAGTCATATCTTCTTCTGGCTGTCTGACAGCCATTAGCAGGCATAGAAATTAAAAAATTTAAATAATTGTAACAATAGCAAGGCTACAAAGCAGAATCTGTGCTATGAAATCACTTCATTGATATAGAAAACACAAAGGCAGTTGGCATTGTGCTTATAATGATCTTATTGATATTATTAAGCAGAACTTTATATAAGTATTAAACACCACTATAATCATTATTATAATGTCAGTGAATTTCTTTTATTATGTGTCTAACGCTTAATGTAAATAACTTTTTAACCCCTTCCCATACCTGGTTTGTCCGACAAAAAACAGCTGTTAACGGCCTCGGACGTACCAGAAACGTTAGTAAAAGTTGTAAAATAGTTTTTAAATTAAAGTTATTAGATTTTTTTATATATATACAGGGAGTGCAGAATTATTAGGCAAATGAGTATTTTGACCACATCATCCTCTTTATGCATGTTGTCTTACTCCAAGCTGTATAGGCTCGAAAGCCTACTACCAATTAAGCATATTAGGTGATGTGCATCTCTGTAATGAGAAGGGGTGTGGTCTAATGACATCAACACCCTATATCAGGTGTGCATAATTATTAGGCAACTTCCTTTCCTTTGGCAAAATGGGTCAAAAGAAGGACTTGACAGGCTCAGAAAAGTCAAAAATAGTGAGATATCTTGCAGAGGGATGCAGCACTCTTAAAATTGCAAAGCTTCTGAAGCGTGATCATCGAACAATCAAGCGTTTCATTCAAAATAGTCAACAGGGTCGCAAGAAGCGTGTGGAAAAACCAAGGCGCAAAATAACTGCCCATGAACTGAGAAAAGTCAAGTGTGCAGATGCCACTTTCCACCAGTTTGGCCATATTTCAGAGCTGCAACATCACTGGCGTGCCCAAAAGCACAAGGTGTGCAATACTCAGAGACATGGCCAAGGTAAGAAAGGCTGAAAGACGACCACCACTGAACAAGACACACAAGCTGAAACGTCAAGACTGGGCCAAGAAATATCTCAAGACTGATTTTTCTAAGGTTTTATGGACTGATGAAATGAGAGTGAGTCTTGATGGGCCAGATGGATGGGCCCGTGGCTGGATTGGTAAAGGGCAGAGAGCTCCAGTCCGACTCAGACGCCAGCAAGGTGGAGGTGGAGTACTGGTTTGGGCTGGTATCATCAAGATGAGCTTGTGGGGCCTTTTCGGGTTGAGGATGGAGTCAAGCTCAACTCCCAGTCCTACTGCCAGTTCCTGGAAGACACCTTCTTCAAGCAGTGGTACAGGAAGAAGTCTGCATCCTTCAAGAAAAACATGATTTTCATGCAGGACAATGCTCCATCACACGCGTCCAAGTACTCCACAGCGTGGCTGGCAAGAAAGGGTATAAAAGAAGAAAATCTAATGACATGGCCTCCTTGTTCACCTGATCTGAACCCAATTGAGAACCTGTGGTCCATCATCAAATGTGAGATTTACAAGGAGGGAAAACAGTACACCTCTCTGAACAGTGTCTGGGAGGCTGTGGTTGCTGCTGCACGCAATGTTGATGGTGAACAGATCAAAACACTGACAGAATCCATGGATGGCAGGCTTTTGAGTGTCCTTGCAAAGAAAGGTGGCTATATTGGTCACTGATTTGTTTTTGTTTTGTTTTTGAATGTCAGAAATGTATATTTGTGAATGTTGAGATGTTATATTGGTTTCACTGGTAATAATAAATAATTGAAATGGGTATATATTTGTTTTTTGTTAAGTTGCCTAATACTTATGCACAGTAATAGTCACCTGCACACACAGATATCCCCCTAACATAGCTATAACTAAAAACAAACTAAAAGTTTTTTGGGTTCATTGAGAACATGGTTGTTGTTCAATAATAAAATTAATCCTCAAAAATACAACTTGCCTAATAATTCTGCACTCCCTGTGTATGTATGTATGTGTATGTATATATGTGTATATATATATATATATATATATATATATATATATTCTAAGTATTTTTATATACACAAATCATTATTAAAAGTGTATTTTAATATTAATCTATTTAATTTTATATATTTGTGTGTATATATATATATATATATATATATATATATATTAAAATACACTAAGAATAATGCTCATTTTATATATATATATATATATATATATATATATATATATATATATATATATATATATATAAAAAATTAAAATAATCAACAAATAAATTAAAAATAAATAAAATAATAAAATTAAATGTAAAAATATATATACCAGTTTACATTTGTTCTAACTGTATTTTGATATTAATATACATTTAGAATGATGTAATAAATACATATCCCCTTAACGACTGTGGACGTACTAGGCATGATTACTGCCACAGTAGGAGTGTATGGAGCTGCCAGTAGGGAGACTATCTGAGCTGTCAGGCAGTTCCTCAGGCTGCTAAAAAGTAAGAAAAAAATTAAAATATAAATAAAAAAATATATATAATATATGAATAATATATTTATTATAAAATAATTCAAGCATTTTATAATGTATTATACATATATAATGCATATATATGATTTCATTATAAGTGTACTTTGAGATATATACACATTTCAAAATACACTTATAATGAAATCATATGTATGCATTATATATGTATAATATAAAATGCTTTAATTATAATATATTATACAGATATAGGAAATAAGTGTATATATGTTGTTGCGGCTCCCGGCCCGCCGCATGGCGCAGCCGTGCCCGACCGGCATGGCCTCGCCGATATTGCGATCTTACCTGCGAGCCGGGAACTGCTCTTCCGCGTCTTCTGGGTGTTGCGCCCAAATCAAAGATGGCACTGACCACGTGGTCGCGCACACCACAAGCTCCGCCCCTGAAATGTATACAGACGTGCTCGTGACTTCAACGCATGTGCACGTTCTGGGGTCAGAGGTCACACTCTGACCAATCAGAGCCCAGAGAGGGATATTTAAATCCCTAATTCACCCCAGTTCCTTGCCCTGTTGTTGTTTCCTGTTCCTGGTTCCCGAGAGTGCGTTTATCTTTGTGAATCTGACTTCCTTGTATCCTGATCTTGGCTTTTCCCTGGTTATTCCGAATTCTGGTTCCCCTGACTTGGCTTGTTTAAACGGTATCTGAGTATTTCTGGCTTCCTTGACCTCGGCTTTCCCTTTGACCATTCTCTATCTCTAGAGTATTAGTCCGGCCATTCTAAGGTCTGGTTTACGCTTTGTCCTTTTATTTCCTTTCCTTTTTTATGTATTTGTTTACATAGTTTCTGCGAGTTGGACCACACTAGCAGCCGTGACATATGTGTGTGTATGTGTATATATGTATATATATATATATTCATTCATTCTAAGTGTATTTTAATACTAATATATATACTTATATTAACATTAAAATACACTACGCATGACGTTACATGGAAAACTGATGTATAAAAGATGTGTGTGTATATATATATATTTTTATATATATATATATATATATATATATATATATATATATATATATATACATACACACAATACATGTAATTTATTTTTACATGTTTAATGATTTTTTTAATTTTTTTTAATTTTTTTTAGCTCTTCCCACTAGCAGGGGGACTGTCTGACAGCCCAGACAGTCCCCTTGCTGGTAGATCCACAGCCAAGTAGAGGGGGCAATGTGATCGCTCATTTGCATAATCTATTCTGCTTGAATTGCACATCCAAATTCCTTGACAGACTAAAATGCCAAACGAAGCTCCCTTTGCTCACATGCAGATAACAGAAATTGTTGGATGAAAAATTATTATTATTATTATTTTTTTTTTTAAATATGTCTCTTAATTTTTAACCATAGATAGTTATAGGGTCCTTTTTGTTTGTGCAGATTTATCACCTCTCCTCCAGTTGCAAAGACAGAATTAATCTGCTAGTAGATAGCTTTGGTTTTTATTTAGGTTAACCCCTTAGTGACCAGACCACTTTTCAGTTTTCTTACTATTAAGGACCAGGGTTGTTTTTGCATTTCTGCGGTGTTTGCGTTTAGCTGTAATTTTCCTCTTACTCATTGTACTGTACCCACACATATTATATATTGTTTTTCTCGACATTAAATGGTCTTTCTAAAGATACCACTATTTTAATCATATCATATTATTTACTATAATGTTTTTTAAAATATAATGAAAAATTAAAAAAATCACACCTTTTCTAACTTTGTCCACCAAAATCAGTTACGCATCTACAACCGCCATAAAACACTCTTGATAAATAGTTTCTAAATTATGTTAGAAATACCCAATGTTGACATGTTCTTACCTTTTTTGTTTGTTTGTTTTTTTGCAAGTTATAGGGCAATAAGTACAAGTAGCACTTTGCTATTGCCATACCATTTTTTTCCCCAAAATGAACGCAAGTTACATTGTAACACTGATATCTGTAAGGAATCCCTGAATAACCCTTCACATGTATATATTTTTTAAAGAAGACAACCTAAGAGATTACATTTGGGATATTTTGACTCTTTTCATGCAACCATTTTACCACCATCAATGCCAAATTAAAAAAAAAAAATAATAATTGGTGATTCTTTCGACACACATTGCAATTTAAGAAAACATGTAATGAGAACTTTAAGGGTTACTGCCAAAGAACACCCCAATATGTGTTCAGCAACATCTCCTGATAAAGTGATACCACCCATGTATAGGTGTGCCGTGTTCTCTGGGGGCTAAAAGACGTTATTTGGAGGGTGCGCATTCCAGTTTTCCAACTTGGAATTTTCACAGCTGGTCATCATGCACCCATGTCCTATTTGGGACATTTTTGAAGCACGCCAATTTAATTTACCCCCATCAAACCATATATTTTTGAAAAGTAGACACTAATTCTATGCTCTAATTCTACCACCAGTCTTTGTCAAACTTTTGGGTAGTCATTTTTTTGTTATTTTTCTCTCACATTGTACTTTGGGCATGGATTCTCAGTTCCTGTTATGTGTTACTGACAAAGAACACCCCCAATATGTGTTCCGCATCATCTCCTGAGTACAAAAGTGTCCCCAATGTACAGGTTTTATGGGTTTTTGCAAACTTACAGGGGTAAAATGTAGGGCTTTCCTCTTTTCCATGTTTGCACATTAAAATTTTCCAGATTGGTTTGCTGGGCCTATATTGACTTTAAGACCGTATAGCAGCCCAGGAATGAAAATTATACTACAATTAGACTTGTAAAAGTAGACAACGCACTGTATTTAAAATGAGGCATTTCCAGTCATTTTTTGTAGCCACATATTTATGTTTTGCTTTTTTCACACAAAAACAAATATGAACACAAACTCTGGCCAGTGTTTGTGACTAAGTGGCTACTAAAAAAAGACTGGACATACCCCACTTGCAATACCTTGGGTTGTGTAATTTTGCAAATGGTATGCCATCATGGGGGTAATTCTCAATCCTGGGCTACCACACGGTCTCAAAGGTAACATTACTAATCAGGCGAATTTTAATGTGAAAAAAATTAAAAATAGAATGTGCTATATTTGACCGTGTAACTTTCCAAAACACCGTAAAATCTGTTAATGGGGGCTACTGTTGCACTCGTGAGACTTTGCTGAATACAAATCTGTGCATTTTATTGCAGTAAAAACAAACAGTATTATGACATTTACAGCTAAAATGTTAGGCGGAACTACAAATTTATTTTTAAAAATCTTAATTTCTCACAGTTTATTTTATTAATAATAAGTTATGTTTCATATATGAATAGTTCATGAGAAATTAAAGCCCTGTTTCTCCTGAATAAAATTATATATAATAAGTGTGGGTGCACTTAATATGAAAGAGGTTGAACACATATATAGCGCAAATTCCAGTTTTTGTTTACATTTTGTTTTGATCAGAACGTGTACTATTGACTCCATCCTGAAGGGGTTAAAGGAAGCGTCCATGTAATTTATAAATAAATATTTACATACACACACACCAGCCTTTTCAATAGTATTCAGTGCAGTTGACATATGTTTAAGCCTGGATGATTCCAGTCCTAAATTTGTAGATGTAGAATTGCTTTGGCCAATGTGTTAATGTTCCCCAAGTGCCTGGAGTTTACTTTCCCAGAAGCTCAGTTCATACTCTGAGCAAGTGATGTCAGAGAAAGCAGTACAGTGAGTACATGAACAGTGTTGGTATGTGACATGTTATTCAGATCTAACAATCTGTGAGCACTGAAGCAAATCATGGTTTCATTTGAGACACAAATTCCATCAATGTAGAGAAGAATGGTAATGTATAAGTCATACAAAAACATAAGTCATAGCAACAGGATTTAGAAAATTGTAGTGTGAATGAAATGATTTGGACACCCTAAGTATTGTAGTCTCTAGTTAATTATAGTAGTTATAGTGTTAAGGGTCTAGGGGATGCATCTCCTAATTTTCCATCAGACCATTTTGGAGAGGATTAGTGCTGGTAGTGCCCTAATTTTGATTATTAGTCCCTTCATATTTGTGCTTTTATTTAAGCATGATTTATATTTATTTATTTACTCTTGATTAAATTGGAGTTTCATTTCCTTATAGCTTGTCTAAATGTAGATTATACTGGAAGGGTTACTCCAAGCACCATGACCACTTCACTGATTTGATCTGGAGTCTGTGTTTTGCTGTGAAACAAAATGCTCAGCAAGCTGTGAACACTGATTTTGGTCTGCAGGAGAAATCCCTAGATGATTCTCTACTAAATCTGTCACTGGAAGAAGTGCATCTTGAGCCAGAGTTACAGGGAGCACAGAATGATACTCCTGAAATAGAAGACATTGGGACTGCAGAGACAAAACCCTAATTTAACAGCAATTCCTCCTCTGACCTCCAAGTACAAAGCCCACCAAGGACTGAGGCAAATTCTGCTCCTGATCCTCTACAATATGTAGATGAATGACACCTCCAACATGTGCTGCCTGACAAGCAGGATTGGTTGGGGATCTCACGAAGTGTCATCATCACCCCACATCTCTCTGATGACATGTGAAATAGAGACTGAAGCAATCTGCAAATTGATTCAAATATGAGTTTACCTTCCGACAGCTGTTATACTTGAGTTGCCTGTGAAGTAGATGTCAATTTCCACTACTTTTCCTGACCTTACATGGCCTAAGCTGCCTCCTGCTCTAGGGTTGTTTGCTCAATTAACTGACTTTGTACTTATGTTCTAGGTGTTTGGAGTACCTGCATACTGTTATGGTGGGATGCACTTAAAGGGGGAGACGGTCACATCTTCCAAAACACTGATTAATCAATGATAACTTGATTACCTTATTTTTCATGACATGGTTCATTTACTTTTAAGTTTATATTAATGATTTTGTAATTTATATAATAATCTAGTTTAGACTAGGCATACATTGTAAAGGAAGAGAAGCATTGTTTAATTTTCCCTCTTCTTGGTCTGCTCTCTGTACGTTGACTGCAAGCTGTAAAGTAAAGGATGGAGCTTATAACAACGTTTGACAGATAGCCAAGATGGAGGCGCCCAGTTAGAGGATAAAGAGATGTAGATTTATACAGTTAATTTTATTTTCACCTGCACCTCAAAAATACATATTTGTTAAATACTGGGAAAAAAAATTAACACAGTAAAGGAGTTTAAGCATGCGTGGGATAGGCATAAGGCTATCCTAACTATAATATAAGGCTAGGGACTAAAGAAAGTATTTTGAAAATTGGGCAGACTAGATGGGCCGAATGGTTCTTATCTGCCGTCATATTCTATGTTTCTATGTTTCTTTCTCTACAGTTAAACCACGGAATCGTATTTAACCTACAGAGGCAACACCCTTGATTCCTTACATTTCTTTCTTGCCTAAACTTTCACAAAGGCATGACTGACGAGCCTTTTTGACCCTGACACTCGGGTTCTCTGGACTGCACTGGTGATAGTGTAGATCCTTAATCTCAACAAATTTTGACCCTACCACAAAGGGATAAACTCCCCTTAATTCACTTACTTCTTTTCACATTCAATTAGTTTACTCTATTCGGATACTGCCGTATCCACAAGTGGACAGTTTCTCTCCCAACCCTCTCCTATGATGACATTCTCTCAGCTGTGAACAAACCACTCAGTCATTCCAGTCCATTTATATGAGGAGATGCATCGGTGGATAGCACAATATGCTTACCTAGCATCTGACGCTCAACGTATAACCCCCTCAAGCGTCAACGTCAACCCCCTCAAACTGCGTGAAGCCGACTTGCTGCATTGTTTTGGGGGCATCCACAAATTGGGGACTTTTGGGTGGAGGTGCAAACTTATCTCGAAACCATTCTGCGTCCCCCACACTGACAGCACCCAGAGACACTCCAGGTTCATACAGATGGTGCTGGCAGCATTCTACATGAATGGATCTCAGTTGGGGAGCCGACTCTGGCATTAGGTCAAACTAAGCTGTCCCATGTATTTAGGATGGACTAGTTGGAGGCTTTCCAACACAAAAAATGCAAGGTTTGAACATTTTTCTACAAATGCGAGCCTTATATACAAACCTAAGACACTGACCGCAGAACACTCATTCAAAAAAATATTTCAATGCACCAGCTGGTACGCCTCGAGAATACTTCGGGGGCAGCCCCTGGTCTGATTCGAACAGTAAGGAGAGGTGGAGAAATTGAAAATGGGTCTTGATGGGAACACTATCTCATTGCTTATTCTTAGATAAGGGACATTATACTTATATTTACATTACAGCATCAAACCTGACTGATATGATTTTGCTATCTTTCCTGAAATAGCAGATTGTTACTGCTTGTTTTATAGCAATTTGTTCTCTGGAGTCTCCCTAATGCGATAGTCATAATATATGACTTTTTGTTTTTATTTTAATGGAACTGGTCATCCGGGGTGCTTGGATATGTAACCCCACCACCCATATTGTTGCTGACCCTATGCTTAATTTTCTGTCAAATGTATTTTATCAAACAATTTTTATGTTTAACAACAATAATAATCATCATCATCGTTAAACATTCAAATATACAGAAGTGAACACCCAATAAAAAATAAGAATACAAATAAATCAAGCAAACAAAAAGAAACAGAGGGAAAAAACATCCATACATTGTAATACTGATAACATATGTTATGAAAAACACTAGTGTAAAATAAGGTGTAATAAAGTATCATAAATGAGAAAAGCACTTAATATACGTTGGCGGTAAATAGGACAAGGTACGCATATGAACAGAACAAGAGTAAAAAGAGAGGCAGATAAGCTACAGTAAAGCAAAAATTTATTTGTAAAGACTATTTTCATATGATATTATCCTTCCCTATGTTCCAGTGATAAGTTAATGATTCTGTTGTGCTTGATGGCAATCTGAGGTACATCTCATAACACTTATTCTCTGAGGCCAATGTTAACACTTTTTTTTATTAACAGGAATTGCATTAGACTTCCAGTAATGGTAATGTGGTACTACCATAGTTGCCGCTATCAAGACGTGGCCTACCATTGTAACCAATGACCTTTATCTATTTAACTTTGGTAAAAGTTTTCTGCTTAATTTCCAATAAAGATAAAAAAAGCAGGGGCTATACCTTTTCAGCACTTTATGATAGGCAACCTTTGCAGATAGGGTCACAGCGTGGATTCTGAAAAATAATTTGAGCAACACATATTACAACAGCAAAATTTGTGTTGCTAGGTTGCATCATTTCTTTTGTAATATTGTATCCACATCTAGCTATACAAACAGGGGGTTTTGGTCTGTTCCTCTTGAGTGTCCTGAACCTTTGGATTTCCGGTAAGTATTGTTTTGTGTACTGAAACATAGATCAGTTTCTTTTGTATACTATTAAGTAAATGGGATATTACACATGACAGTTTTGTTGATGTTTTAATTTCTTAAATCCCTTCTCATAATTTTTTTTTATTTTTTTTTAACTTTTCTTTAAAGTACAGTTATTATTAAACTTCCACCTTCAGTTTGTAAACATTTTAATGAAATTTAAAGGGACACTTCAGACTCTAAAACTACTTCATCTAAATTAAGTTTTTTAATGGTGCCAGGAGGCACTTTTACCTCAAGTTGCCACCAACGGCAATGTCCACTTCCTTCCCAATTTTCAGATTCAGGAAACGCGGAGTACTGTCAGGCAGGGGCGCCACTGATTGGCTTAGAGTGGTATGTGGTCACTCTCAGCCAATCCGTTACATATCCATTCAGTGAACTGGCTTGGAAAGAAATTTACCTTTTCCAAGCCAGTTTAGTGAATGGGGAGTCACTGATTGGCTGAGAGGGCCAGTTTACCGCTCCCAGCCAATAGGTGGCGCCCCTTCTTGGCTGGTCTCCACGCTTCCTGAATCTGTACATTCAGAAGCCTGATGCCGCAGGGGTGGAAATGGACATTGCAGTTGGAGGCATCTTTGGGGTTTTACCGTTCAAAATGGCTTAATACATTGGTTCCCAAACTGTGTGCTGTGGCGCCCTGGGGTGCCGCAAAATGTTTTCACGGTGCTATGATCATAGCACAGGTAAACATTACTGCTGAACAGGGGCACGGTCAGGTGCCGTGGCCCTTTAAGGCCCCTGTAAAGTCGGCAAGGTGCGTGACCTCTCATTATTCATACAATATGGTACATAGATTGATTAATTGATATTGCGCACCAATTTATAGGTTGTTCTAAAACTGCAATGTTTTAGAACAAGTGTAATAGGGACACTGCGCCCATGCCACTTCAATAAGCTGAAGTGGTCTGGGCGCCTATAGTTTCCCTTTTAGTAAACCTAATTGTCTATGTAAATTAAGAGAGTTTACTCACATCATATTTCATTTAGAAGGTAGCACTTATGCAGGAATACAGTTGAAGGAGCCTAATTCTGTATTTTGGGTAGAAAGATGCGAGAATGCACAGATCGTCCTCTGAGACACTTAACAGAATTTTAATGTCATCATAGTTGCTTGATTTAGCATTTCAGAAAAAAAAGGTTTGTTGCTATTCTTTATTCACACCTTCTGTCCAGGGGTTGAACCTGTTGCTGCGACTCTGCATGTTCACATACCAGACTCACAGTGTCAGAAGCTGGTGAAACATTTATTTTTGCATTCTCCAAATCTGTTACTTACAGGTGTGAATTCGCAACCTGAAAGTGACTTATGTGATATATGCGAATAGATCAAATGGTTCTTTTATACCTTTGTTGCTGTCTTCTTGAGTGTTTTGGATTGTGTGTGTGTGTGTATATATGTGTATGTATATATATATGTGTATGTATATATATATGTGTATGTATATATGTATGTATATATATATATATATATATATATATATATATATATATAATTTAGTACTATTTTTATTTTGTACATTTTACATTAAGAGAATATTCTAAACAACATAACCATGACACCTGATTGTAGTGTTTATGGTGCAAAGCATATTTGGGAGCAGTGCCTCCCCCAGTTAGTGTTAAACTATTATTTATTTATTTTAATTTGTTTGGTTAGAAATTACAGGCTGCGTGCACTGGATTAATCTGCCCCATAACACTATAAGTATCTCTGCAAAGTCGAATGGATGAATACAGAAATTAACTTATGAATTTTCTAAGTTGCAGCATAAGGCACTGGTCTTAAGGCCTTAGAAAGTAATGTTTTTCCTATTGATTCAAACAATGGGATGGAGCTGGAATATTTGTGTTTTTGTATTAGTCTAAGATTGTACTAAGTTAGACAGAAAGATGGTATGAAACCATGCAAGGGAGAAGTCTGTGCCTGCAATGGAGGGAGCAATCTCCCCCTTGTAGGCGCTCTGCTGTTGGGTGTGCAACTAGCAAATTAGAAATATAAGCATGTTGGGTGTGCAACTAGCAAATTAGAAATATGACTTGTTATTTAAAATCTGATCACAAATGTTCCAAGCAATTATTCAATAAAGTTACATATAAAGGTAATGTGAATTGTTTTCTGATATAGTATAACTTGCATAGATCTTGACAGATGGCATTAACATCCTGAAACTTGTCTACCAGAAATCAAACTTGATTTGCAGTTTAATAATTCTTACATTGTCCATTACAGGAATACCAGTTTTATATTTTGCTGGTGTTTATCTTGCATAATTGAGCTGCTGTTACAATAGATTGGATTTGAAGTTGCCAGAAGTATAAGCTTTACAAAGTTTACCTAAACACAGTTGGACATTTAGTTTGTTTTGCAGTGCTAGTTATTTTTTCTATTTCAAAAACTTCTAGGTCTACATAGTAAATAAACAGCAGTCTTTAAAAAAGCAAACACATTACCAAAAAGTCTGATGTTTATGCATAATACATTTCCACACATTCAAAATCTAGATCAGCAATGACTCCCTTAATCCTAAATTTAGAGCCACCAAACTCGTTTTTCGGAATGGAACTGTTTGTAAACAGTCATTTTCTTAATTGAGCGATCTATAGACCTATTCTTTGCTGTACCCCCACCTGCTTAGACATTTGGCTTAGCCAATTACATCTTGCTTCCTTATAAGCAATCATGCATCATTATTTTGTACAGCACACCCCCCACCAGGCTAGTGCTTTTATTGTTGTTCATATCAACATGGACCAAGAGATCAAAAGAACAAAGTTTGAGTTTACAATATTACTTGAACCCACATATAGCATGGGTATTGTCACTAATTG